GGTAGTGCCATGTCTCTATTTCTAATGGTATAAATGTTATATTCATTAATACATTATTTTTTTACTGTTTCCTGAAGTTTTTGTGATTTTAGTTCTTCGATCTCCTGTGTACATATTATTGTTACTTCATTGTCTATTGTTGATTCATTATCTATTTGTTCAATAATCTCTATTGATTATTGCACTGGTTTATATTGACTTTCAGGATTCTTGATAATTTCCATGAGCTTATCTTCAATGTAGAGTTGTAAGAGATCTTCTTTAATCATTTTGCCTTGTTGCCAAAGATATGTGATATGTTGAGTTAGAATTTGTTCCTTATGGAAAATTGTCACATCTACTCCTAGTATCTTAACTATGATACTATCGAGAATAGTATATGTTTTTGGTAATGAGGCTACTGGTCCACTGGATTCATTATTTCTTTGTTTTAGTAGTTGTTGTGAAGCCCATAAAATAGAGTGTTCATTATGTTTTATTGAGAGATTGATTAATGTGTTTACTATATCCTCTTCTCTTTTACTAATAATCTGTAATATATATTATCCTCTATTCATATTTGCTATTGATTTGAATTTATTGAAATCACATGATTGCTTGTTTATATTTATCAGTTATTCTATTTTTGGATCGCGAATAAACCTTTCTGGGTTCTTGTTGTTTATATTTTTGATTAGTTAATACAGAAAAACCTTGTTGTGTTGTTTTGGTTTATTTGTTTATTGATATTGAAGATCCTATCTAAATTTTACAAGTTGTTATTGTTTTTGTGTGAAATGTTGATCAACTTGTTTGGATCACAAGTTATATGTGTATGTATGTGGTTTGTTTGTCACTTTTACATGTATACTTATTTTGCTTATCCACTTTTATGTGATTGTGTTCACATAGCAAGATGAAAGATAGGTATATTGTTTATGTGTGCATATATATTTAGACTATCTTGTCCTTGGGGAGCTTTGATATTTTTCTGAGCCTTTGAGTGACTGAAGTAACTTGATTTATCAAGTAAACTTAGTTGCTTCCTGGGTTCATTGTAGTGTCAAGAAAGGTGTTAATCTGCATTGGCCTGGCTGTAAGCTGTGTGAAATTGATATTGACCCCCTTTTTCTGACTGTGAATTAGTTTACAAGTTTCTTTTCTTTCTCCTAAAAATTTTAAGAAAAAAAAGTAAAAGAAAGTTAGTAAAACAATATATACCTCTTTCCTTGATGTTTCTGAAAGGCTTGTTGTATATGTGTTGCAAAAGCTTGATATTTTGGTTTGAAAGATATATTGTTTTTTCTTGTGTGCTTGACCAGGTTTGCTTTTTTTCCAAAAAATTATCAAAAAAGAAAATTTTTAAGAAAAAGGAGGATCAGTAGAAAGAGTTTTTTTTTTAATATATGTATTATATATATTAATAATTTTTGTTTATTTATATGTATCATATACTGTATATGTATATTATATATATTAATAATTATTTTTGAAAAGTCTAAATTTATTCAAATATTGAAATTATTCAATAAAGAATATCGATACAATTTTGTGTAAAAATATAAATATGATGCAAATATAATTTTATTTTTTTTTAAAAAGATGAATTGTGAACAAAAAATTATAAAAAAATTAACTATCAGATTAAGGATAAAATTATTCAAATGTTGATTGAAATTATAGTTTTGAATTAAGATCGAGATAAAGAGCATTATCAAGTTCAAATTCAAAATCAATATGAAAATTTTTGACAAGATTGTGAAAAAATTCAACAAGATTGTGAAAAGATTTGACAAGATTATTTATTAGTAATGATATTTGTGATCATGTTATTATTTATATTGATGATAAAAAAGTTATATTGAAATTTTGTTTTAGAATATTCTTGATTATGTAATCAAAAAATAAATATATAAATATGATTGAAACATATTTGATACATTATCAAAGATAAATGATGGTAATTCGGAAATAATTATATCTGTAAAAGGAATTCATGAATCTTTTTTAAAATGTAAATCTGTAATACCACATATATGTTCACATGATAATGAAGTTTCTTTTAAGATTATGGTATATGAAGAATATGTAAGAGACTCTGACCTTATATGTCAGGTGTTGAATGAAACATGGGATTCTTGTTTGACATGCAAGATAAGGTCTTTGAAATTGAATTATTCGAGTTTAAGTTATCCAGTAATTAATAAAAATTGAGTAGAAGAATGAAAGGATTATTCAGGTTATCTATTTTATGAATATTTGTATAAACTGGAAAAGAAAATATGTGAAATTTTTCATATTAATCTGAAAAGATATTTTAATTGTTTGTATATGATCATGATTGAGGCACAACAATATATGAGGGAAAATGTGAGATTTGAAAAGACTCACATCTAGCAATTATGTAAGATCAATATTAATAAGGCATGTTTATTATCTATACATTCTGTAAGTAGAAATGTACTAGATTCTTGAGTGTAGTAATTTGTATTCAAGCAATTCAAATGGATATAATATTTACAAATAAGAAATTTGCAATAAATCCATCATTAAAAAAATTAAATTTCAAAATTCAAATCAAATAAAATTTGATATTTCAAATTATACAAATAATATAAAAATAAAAATGACATATCCATCAAATCAAGAAGCTACATATATCACTAAACCCGATAAAGCATATTTTGTCTTATCGATAGAAGCACTTTATGAAAAAATTTTAGTGACGAGACAATTGATAACATTTTATAAAAATCTTATGATTATATTGATCATTTTTTTCATCATTATATTGTTTCTCTTGGGACTTTATATAAACAAATTAATTACATTAGGCCAAGTGCTTCTTCAAAAACAGGTCAAAGTTGAAATAAGTAAAAAATTATTCAATGAACATAATAATCTTATGATTGATTTCTTGAAAAAACACAAATTTTAAATTTGATATTAATCTCAATCCAGTCCATGTGATCAGTATCACAGCATTATGAACAATTTTGATACATAAAAACAAAATAAAACTTGAGGGCTTCAAATTTAATAAAGATAAATTGTTAATTATTATTGTTTATGTGAGAACGATATGAAATTAAAAATGATAAGGTGTAAAATATTCATTTGGGATATTTCAAGTAGAAAAATAGTTTGTGTTTATGATAATTTATTAGTAATTTAAAATATGATGATGATTCAACTTAAAAACAAATATATTAGATAAATTTATATGATATTGTATAGAATAATTTTATATAAATATATATAATTGTAATCTTGTATTTTTTTAAAAAAAAATTATATAAATAATAAAATAATTGATAAAATAATACTGAAGAAATCTGATTTTTTAAAGATTGTATCAAAAATTCATGAAAATATTGATTGAGATAAAAAGTTATTGGAGATGTTAATGAGGAATGTTTGAAAAACTAAAGAAATGTTGAGTCGATTTAAAGAGTGTGTGAAGATGTATCAATATATTTCAGTATCAGATTTTTCAAAATATGTAGAATATTAAGATTGTTATTTAATCGTATTTCAAAAATTAAGTATGGATTATGAATTTGGAAGGTCATGTTTGTATAAGTTGAATGAGACAAAATTATCAATTTTTAAGGATGAGATAGTGATATAAAGAGATATTAGGTTGCAATCAATGATTTTGAATATTAGATCTTTTGAGAATGAATTAGATGTAATTGTTGAAGATGAATATAAGGATTGATATATTTTTTACTAGTTGGATATTATACCATCTGAGAAAATGTATGTAACATATTTGTTAAAAAATTTTAGATTCGAAGATTCATATTCGAATGTTATGATTATTGATGCTCATGATAATAAAATTGGAATTTTGATTTATGAGATCAAATCTTTTGCACACATGATAATATTCAAGAATTATAAGATTCAGTTGAGTTGTTATATGGAATTTATTGAATTTGTGATTGCAAAGGTGTTGAAACATAGTGATTGCAAAATATTTTTGAATTGAGAAAAGTTTGAATTTATTGTGTATAATAAGAAAAGAAATTATAAATATAAAGGTGATAAGTATCAATTTTGATATCACGAGTTTTATGATATGTTGAGATGATTGGATAATGCATTTTTGAAAACTTCAGATTGCACTTGTGATAAATGCATGAAATTTGTATACAAGAATCATGTGAAAGATAAAAATGACTTATCAAAGATATTTGATCAATTGAAGATCTCTTGAGAATATTCTTTTTTGATTATTCTAAAATATATTATGAATTTATTATAAATATATTTGGTAATTTTATGTATCAAATAAAAAAAAATATCATCACATAAATGAAAAAATGTCATAACAGCTTGTTATAGATATAAAGATAAAAGAATTGGTTGTGATGAATTGTCAACATGTTTAAATTGTTTGAATTATGGTTAAACATGTGTGAGAAAACCTTCTGAATGTCATAGTCCAAAACCAGGATCTAAGCAAACACAAAGACAAAGTAAACAATATGAAATATCATATATATTTAAAACTTTTTTATTTCTCTAAATTTAATTTCAAAATAATTTAATAATCAGAATTTTTATATATTTCTTTGAAACTTTATATTTTAATGGCCATAAAACTTGGAGTAATTTTAAAAATTACTTGTTTTGCTCAACGAAAGCTATATTGTTGGTGAAATCTATGATTATTTTGTTGAAAATAAAAATTAATTGAAATTCAAGTTTTTTTGAATTATAGATGTTTTTTTTTCTTTATTCATGCTTTGAGTTTATTGTGATTTGATGATTCGATATTGTAACATGGTTTAAATTGAAAAAATTTTTATCATTAAATGTAATTCTATTTATTGTATATTTACAAAAAAACTTACAATAGAAGGATTGACTAAAATCTTTTGTTGCATAGCCTTAAAATAATTTTAACGCTTATATCTTACTTGATTATAATGACATATAAATAATAATAATAATTATATACATTATATGCAATGTATATTTAGCATATTAATTAATAATTATCTGTTACTAACATTTCACCATAGGGCGATATGATATTATTAAAATCCGTGGGTATTGATAAGAAGTCTAGGAAATTAAGGGAAGTTAATTGATCGTCGTAGAAGTCGTTTGAAGGAATACCGCCAATATTGGTCAAATATTCAGGATTGGAAATCCCGAGTCCGATTTGGTTATCGAAGAATAATGGTAAAGTGACATCTTTAACATTGACAGCACTGTCATGAAACTGTTGTTCCTCGATTTGGATTGGTGAATCAAGGTTGTAAAAGGTTTGTAACGGAGAATCAATTTCAATATTAAAATTATATACTTCATTACTTTCGAGAGAACAATTTTCATTGTCACTATAGATTGATAGGTTTGGGCTAGCGTATAAATAATTCTTCCAATCGGCGAATAAATCCATGTTTAGGATAGGAGAATTATCCGCAGGTTCGGGAGAATTAAGTTCACTTTCAGAAGTTGACGGAGACAAATTTTGTGCAGGTAATTGTAAAGTCATATCAACTGATTTCTGAGACTTGACATTTCGAAATTTATTATTATTATTAGATTGATCAAACGAGACGATGTTCCATTGTTTCCTTTTCCCCTCACGTTTAGGCTTTGGATAAATTTCACTCCTATATAAGAATGCTTCTCTCGCGATCCTTTTATATTCTTTTTTAACTATCTCGGACTCTTTCTCCCACGATTTTGAAACCATGGAAGAAATTATAGACATTGGAAGGGAGTATCCTTCATTTCTTGCTGTCTTTATAAATAACTTTCGATAAATAATAAAAGCATTAGGAGCCTTAGATGGTTCACGACCGTCAGGGTTTAAGGTAATAAGATCACGTGGATCTATCATAGGCGGAAAAGGGAGCTTGATAAATGGCTGCGCATCATTAATAACTTGACTTGGCATCAAGGGATCACTAGAATTGATAAAGACAAAGTTTGTTTGGCTCATTTTTATTTTGGGGGTATCTGGTTTATAATAAAATTTCTACTCTGTAGTACTTTACTTTTTTGCTTGAAGTTTTGGAAGAAGCCACTAGGTTGTATTTATACGTTTTAATCCACCTTCTAAATATAGTTATTGGGTGGTTTCTTTAAGTAATAAACATTCTTAGGACAATATAAAAAACGCTAGATTACGAGTTACCACACCAAAAGATTTCTCAGAAAAAAGGACCAAACGAATGAAATTCTATTTGCATGTACCATTACGTATTATCATTGCATCTAGTAATGTATCATCAACCTCTATTATTTTTATTTACAACGGGTCATTGATCACTAATTATTGCGCTTCAAAAACACACATTTGAATATGAAAGAAAGTATTTGATCCAATAGAAATTAAATGAAATTATAGGTCTCGTCATGTGAGTGAAATTTCTTATCTTTAAGACTTTTCAAGGGTCTAAAATGAATAAATCACGTGGATCGAAAGTTCTTTAGTCATATTGTAAATAAATAGAATTGCACTAACAGTAAATACCGGTAATGCTGATAATGGGTATGTGCTATCAGTCGCCATTTTAGGTATTCGCCACATTTTGTGCGTCATCCACGCATTTATATAGGTCGGCTATTATTATAACTATGTCACAAACTCTTGTGGAAACATCGACCGAAAAAGGAACAAAAAACATTATAAAGTCCCATTATTTTGGGAATCAAGTTTCTCCGCAACGATATTGTAAATCGTGTATTACTGAACTCCATTTTGCAATGAAGGACCGCGCGAACTGGAAGGTGAGAATTGGCCATTTTTGGATAATAAACTATTCTATTCTCAGCGTAAAACTTTCGTTTCTGATAAGAACTTTAGACTGTTTTTTGATAATTTCTTCGCAAATAGTTGGTTACGATAATAACAATTTATTGAATATTCACACAATAAAAAAAAAAAGAAAGAGAAATTTATCACAGTATAATATTATTTAGTCATTAGTATTTGTTTTTGCAAAGATTGTACAGGGGCTTGAACTTTTCCGTCATTTCGATATTCTTGCCAATAAACATGTCTTGGCTCAAGGTATAAGGAAATGGTAATTTAAAAGCCGAGATGGCATCCAATCTTCTAATTTGTTCCGGAGTTAATCTGGTTTAAATTTTAATTAGTGGAATCTGAAGAAATAATGAATAATTGAAAATAAAGCGCAATCAATGAGGCCTACTTGAATTCCAGAGCTTTGATATTTTCATCTAATTGGGCCTTTGTCCTGGCACCGATCAAAGGTGAGGTGATTCCAGGTTTTTGAGCAATCCAATTTAATGCCACCTACGAAAATATTTATGATCGTTGTATTATAATATTAGCCAAGAATTTATAAATTTATTACAGAATATTAGCTTACTTGAACAGGACTCTTATTTATTTCTTTGGAAATCTTTTTAACCTCCTCGAGGATTTCCCAATTCTTTTCAACTCCTGTCCATTCATTAATGGTGACTCTATCGCTAATTCTCGCCCCAGATTTCACCTTTTTCTCCACGGATTCTTTTGTGTATTTCCCAGTGAGAAATCTAAAAATTTAATCCCTTATAAAATATGTATATACAGTATATGAAGAGTTGAAATATTCAATTAAATGTTACCCTTCGGCGATACAACCCCAAGGAACAGTCCCAATCTACATAGACAATAAAAATAATAATATAAACAGTTATTAATGCAACTATATTTTGGAAGAAATGCAATTAGAACATACTCCAAGTTCAGCGCAGGCGGGCTGCAAATCAGTTTCATATGTTCTCTCCAATAGGCTGTACCGAGTTTGCAAAGCAATAAATCGACTTATAAAAAAAAAAGAGAAAGAAAGAAAGAAAAAAGCGATTAATACAATTCCCAATGTGCAACGGGAAAGAAGCGAGATTACCTCCATCCGTAAAAATCAGCCATTGTATTTGCGCGACTCATCACCCAAGATGGCGCGTCACTAATCGCAACGTAAAGAGCCTAATAGTTGATGATAACAAAATGGATTATCATTGATGTATTTAATTTTAAAACAACAACGTATTACTTACTTTGCCGCTTCTGACTGTATCATCCAAAGCACGCATGACCTCTTCAATTGGCGTGCGAAATTCCCAAAAATGCACGTAAAGAATGTCGACATAGCCAACGTTTAGACGCTTCAAACTTTGATCGAGACTTTCGACAAGACTTTTGCGATGACTACCGGCTAAGGCGTATTTAAAAAAAAAGTTCATAAGTTGATTATTCCATTCTGCCAAAGGAAAAAGGGGTACATACAGGCATTTGGATTAGCTCTAGATTTGGAACTGGAGGGAATAAGTGTGACTTCATTTACTTTAAAAAAAATAAGAATAAATTATATTTCAGTAATTACGAAAGGATAGGAAAAGATAGTAAATGGTGTGAATAAAAATAGACACATGTATATTTGGTAGCGACGACGACTTGAGAACGTTTATCAGCAATGTATTGCCCAAGGAAACGTTCGCTCTAAAAAAATCGATGTTAGCTTTCGTTAACAAACATAATTCATTGGTCGAGCTGCTGAAAGGTACTAACATCACCATTAGTGTAAAAATTTGCGGTATCTGTCAAGAATCACCACATTAATAAAATTATAGACAGGCGGAGAATTATAAATACTCGTTGAAATTAATTAAAGCAAGAACTCGCACCAAAGAAATTTCCGCCTTGTTCGTAATAATGATCGAAGATCCCTTTGCATTCCTCAAAATTGTTGCCAAACCCCTGTACAGTAGCAATATTTCAACGAGCACTATCAGAAATCCATTGACAAATATCTAACAAGCCATCATCAGTGTCGGTGACATACCCATTGTTCTCCAAAAGTCTAATACGTGACAATTATTAAACTCAGGTAGGTATTCAATAATGAACACGCGAATATTGCATTGTATACAGTATAATTTTTTCCTACCATCGTTCCAAGACATAAAGGAGAAACTCTCAATCCACTGCGTCCCAGAAGAACGTAATCACTGAGGGTTCCGAGTGATTCTTTCGGTTCGTGAGTCATCGCTTTAAAAATTAATTTCCGTAGACTTGAAAAATCAAGGCCTATTTATGCGGGGGCAATATATACACCAAATGCTCTTTTCTTGACGATCCGAAATGTGCACTTCGCATTATTAATCACTTCACTCAATATGGTGCAGATCAAAGGAAAAGATTTTATCCTTAAAATACAGTTTAGTACTGCATAACGCGTTTTGTATCAAGTTGAAACTAAATTAGACTTCATTTTTATCGGCACTAAAATCTTTGTTATTGCCGCTTATAGTGTTTGGTAGCCCCTCTCGGTCCTTCTTATTTCCAGCATAGTTTATGCAATATCAACTCCCACGCATGACGCCAATCAAATATATCGCGCGGAATACTATTAAATAAAGCTTAAATTCTAAAATGTCATCTCATTCTCAGATGATTAAATGGCTTGTTAGATAATTGATAACTTTATTCTTAATTGGATAAACCTAATGCAAATGAGTTCTATTAATTAATACTCTTTACCCGCAATCATGTTGTCATGGGTAATCTTTATTGCAGTAAAAATACAATCAATACTATATTGATTAACTCATCTTTGTACATTATTGGTTAAAAGATTAAAAAATATGAGAAAGTCCATACAAAATCTCAACTTGATACTTAAATCAAATTTAAGGAACAATTTTTCATTTCTCTCTAATCTTGCATTTTGATCTCTAATTTAAAGAAATTATTATTAATAATTAATTGATTAATATAATTTATTTCATTAATTAAATATAAAGATTATTTAAATTAATGAAAATTTTTAATTTTTATCATTGACAAAGTTGAAACTTTATAGAACTTTAGAAAACAGAGAAGAAAGACTTCTATAACTGTACATCCAAGTTATCTATACAATAAAGTATTACAATAGAAAAACTTCTAATGAAGTGCATCACCTTATAACTAGGTTACTTTTTTCAAACAAAAGAAAACTAATCTAGAACCCGATTAGTATTAAAATTAAATTTCAAATTTTAAAAATAGGGAAATAAAAAAAGGAGGTGTGTGTCAAAATAAAGTCTGTATCTATTCATATTTCCTATTCTACTTCAAATATGAAATTTCAAGTTTGAAGAAAACTACATAAGCTTAAATAGGAGTGAATATTCTGTATTACAAAAAAGACATTGAAAAAAAAGAAGGAAGTAGTGTATTTATAGGTAACTATTGTCTTCCAATTCTTGTTTTGTTTCTACCATACTCTATTTAATATGGAATTACTATAGGTGTTCCTTCAAATAATAGTAAGTCAGAGATTTCAACTTTAGAATATATATGTAAAATGATTAAGAGGAAGAAATCCTATTATTCAATAATTAATTCTTCTTTATCATTACAATAATTCTAGCCTAAAAAGAAAAATCCTAATGCTTTTAATATAGTATATATCTTATTAAACTTGATAAATATTATTCTATTTTTTTTAAAGTACTATCATCTATAAAAATTAAGTTATTGTTTAATGGATATATAACATATTAATTAATTTAAATTCTAGTAATTACATATTAATTTAACAATTAGATGTAAATAATTTGAAGATCTCTTTAATCTCCTATCAATTTATACTGATAAATAATATGCATAATACTTTTAAAGCATCATTCATATTTTATATTTCCTTAAGTTTTATCTTTACTTGTCTTTTTTATTGAAGATAAAAAGGAGGGTATATTTTTTTCTCTTTTACTGAACCAAAAATATAAAAGATAAAATGTATCTTATATTCATTTACAATAACTCTTTTAACTTATAATAGATTTTAAGTCTTTTTTATGGATCTAAAAAATGCATTTAGATATATGAGGTGATCAATGTAAATATGTTTATTTTCTTTTACAAACATGTTTTTGCTAAATCAATTAATTCATGAGAACTTTTATACTATTCAAAATTTAGAGTCGAACTTTGGTAGACAAAATTTCTCAAAAAAACTGAGAAAAAGTACTATTAGAACTATAAAGTAAATTAGAGAGTAGATTGTAGATATTTATAATGGCTCTCTTATCAAGCAAAAGGTTCTATAGTGTTTCTCTATATACTGTATAATTGATAACAAAATATCAGTTTTTCTTCTTTTTAAAACTTTCTTGCTATTGATATGAAAGGTATTTCATAGCTTTTAAATTATAGAAAATATGCTTTTGATTGAAGAAAAGTATTAACAAGTAGAAAGAATAAAGAAATAACTCATAAAGATTCTTCAAATTGATTTAATGAGAGTATTAAGATTTTATTAATCAAGAAGATAATGATTTCTTATAATATCTTTTTGATATGTAGTTAAAGAATCAGTGAAAAAAGTTGCTTTTTTTTTTAATAAAAATTTTTAATAATTATTAAAAAAAATTTAATATTATTATTAAAACAACTATAAAATTAATAAGAAAGATCAATTCAGATTTTTTAATATCTAGTTAAGATCAAGACAAAAAAATCAAAGTATCATCAACCTAATAAAATCAGAAATCAGAATAGTAATTTAGATAATAATCAAGAAAAAATTGACAAAAAAATATATTCAATATATTATTAATAATGTTTTGATTCCAATAATAGAATATAGAATGCAATATATATATCTACTGTAAATAAGAAGACATGTAATAAATTCACAGTCATATTCAGAAAAGTATTCAAGAACAAAACCTTAGTTTGTTGAACAATTCCAAGCACTTGTATTCATAACAAAGAAATATATGGTCTTAAGAATATCTGAGAAATACAACTAGAAAGCCACATATCTGCACTTTTCTATCAACTCAATAATATTGAGGCCTTTGATATTGTCACTATAATTAGACTAAAACAAAGCCAAATTAAATGTTGAGAGCTTAGTAATATTCTAGAAAATTTTATTGACTCTCAGAAGCTAATTAAAGGAAATTTGGCAGTTGCAATACTGGCCTTGGCAAAAAATATATAAATACCTTTCAAAGTTGAAGCTGAAAGCAAATATTTGATTATAAGAAAGATATTTTGTCTTTTAAATCAATATTACAAGATAATAAAGAATATAAAAAGATTATTTTATCACTATGTAAGCATAAGATCATGTTTCTAGATCAACTTATCAATACTACTACAATGGTACTTAAAGAATGAAGAACAATTTAAATTCTCTTTAGCAAATACAAGGGACCAGTTTTCTCCTGATACAAAAAAGTTCATGAAAAAACAACAATAAATCAAGATCTTCTATGAAACTCTCTACACAGACTCAAATATACAATTTATAATATATATTCCTAACAAACTTAGATAGAAGAAAAACATACTGGATAGTCTATATTAATACTCTAACAAACAAATTCCATTTTACAATATATTAGTTAGTATATGATTCTACTAGTAATAATACTCATCTCCAATCAGATAGAACAGTGTAGTCAATAGAAGTAGTTTCATCATAAGTTTATCTTCTCCCATAACTAAATAAATATAATAATCTGAAAAAAAGAAAATAGATTATCTGTTAAAAAATCCTATAGACTGATAGATAAACACATATTATCAAATAGTAACTCTACCAACTATTAGACCTATAGAAATAAAGATCCAAGTAAAATATTAGAACATTATACTAATAGAACAAGCCATATAAATAAAAGAATATAAAGATAAACTTATAAGTATTATAAGATATAACAGAAGAGATATAATTTATCAGCTTATTTTCTATACTGATAGCTCCTATAAAAAAGGGATGACAGACTATATACTTGAGATAGATTTAACTTGGATCTTAATAAAGGACAACAAAGTGATTAAACAGTTTTCAGTAAAAGCTTTCACTTGACTATCTGTAACCAGAGCTAAAATATTAACTATTCTTATTGTACTATACACTGCGTCTCAAAATATAATTATCATAATTCATATTGATTACAATACTATAGTCAAAGTATAGAAATCTATTTATTTACAAACAAAAATATTAACAAGAAGATAGACAAAGATTACCAACTGGTTATTGTAGAATAAAATCAAAGATCTAATAAAAAAGAAAGATCTAAATTTGAAAATTTTGAAGGTCAAAGCCCATAAAACTAATAGATTTAATAATCAAGTAGATTTATTTGCTAAACAAGCTAAGTGAAAGAATTCAATAACTTGACATCAGCTACCAGAGCTAGTAAGAGTCCTTACAATAGCTATATGGAGAGAATATACAATAGAAATTGGTATCAGAAATTTTATCAAAATGTTTAATAAGAAAAGAATTGGACTAAACTGAACAACACAGAAAAGAATTCATAATCTTTAGATTCAAAATAATAAAGTTATAGATTGGCTAACCTTTTGGAATCAGTTTAATCTAACTAATACTTTCAATATCTTTTTTAAGACCAATAAGACAAGAGCTTGCTAACTAACCTAACTCACAATAAACTTTCAGTCTTACAGATACTTAAGAAAAGGAAATCAGATGTATATACTATAACTACTTGTTCAGTATACAAACTTCAAGAAGAAATATTAAGATATCTCTTTGAATATTCAATTATTAAAGAAACCAGGAAAGATATATGGTAAAAAGCAAACAAAAAGATTTACAAATACATTAGCAAAAAAGTTAAATATAAAGAAGAAATCTGACCTATAATAAATGACTAGACAGACAAATAGTAAGTTAAAAGAGATTTAGAAATCTGATAGGGATCTTTTCAATACTATCTGTGGATATATAGAAGAAGATAAAACTATCTCTTTGAAGAAATATCCCAAAAAGCAACTCAAGATTGTATCTGCAACTACATAGAGTATAATCAACAAGTTCTGTTAAAAGATATGAGTAAACTTTAAAAAGAAAATCTGGAATAATTATTGTATTAAAGTTATAGAATAAAAAAAGAAGCAAAAAATTATTGAAAAAATAAAAGAAATAAAAGACACA